GGAACTATATTGAGGCACTGAAAATGTCTGTAAAGGCGAATAATGTCATTCTTTGTCTTATTTGCTGTTCTTACTCTAAAAAAAAGGAACTAAACAAGTGAGTTTAGAAGAAAAATGTGTGCCTTTTAATTGCGCACACTTTCATATTCCTCTGTGAAAGACTAAACTCCCTGTTATTGTGAATCCTGAGAAATAAGTTGCCTCATAAATGCACACACAGTAAAAACAAAAGCGACTCAGTCCTCTCAGACAATCCTGCCGTGGTTCTGTAACTGCAAAAGTTAGAAAGAATAGAATGAGATCCAAATATGACGAGTTACTGTGATTCTGCTCTCAAAGGAACAAACTGTCTGATAATATCAAAATTGCAGCAATGTTCCAAAATCAAATTTAAAACAGCTTATTCAGAAGTACAAAGACTACGCGTAGTTACTGTGCACGCATGTGTGTAGGGTTTGTTGCTATTATTGTTTTTTGCAAGTTGTTTATTATATTTTCATGCCCTCAGACGCTCCTCCGCAAAAAAAATGTGCCATGTGGATGTAAAATTGCTCCGTCTAAATGCCACCAACCGCCTCTTTTGCTGAATCCAAAATTAAGTCATAAATATTCATGACCACTGTTGTGTCAAACAACCACACGGCACTGACGAAATGAAGTAAGCGTCTGTCCAAAAAACTGAATAACTTTGTTGTTTGTAAGGCTGCAAGACTTCGTCACACACACACACACACACACACACACACACACACACACGGATCCTGCTGCAGCGGCTGTGCACACACTGATCACTATGTCTGCAAATTGTGTTTAACAAACGGTCGGGAGCATCGGAGCTGCTGGTGTTTATGAGGCAGGGTGTCTGCAGTTGCTAAAATTCCCTCTAATGATGCAGATGAAAAATTGCCACTTCTTGCAATAAGACACTGCACTAGTCAATATTATGGTTTCCATTTTTAATAATCACGCAATGTAATTGTGAGGCTTAAAGGTCTTTCCTGTCTTCGCCCGTGTTGAAGGCGACGGCAGCCTTTGCTGACAGAACAAATGTCACATCTCCATTAGAATACTGAGGTGCAGTGAACAGAAAGGTCAGCTTGAAATTAACTTAATGCAGGATATGATGTGACCTAATACACGGATTAATGTTGTGCTTTTTTTCTCATTTTCTCTTGTTAAAGTAAAGAGTAAAGTTATACTTTACTGAGCGCTGTAGGGAAATTTGTCCTCTGCGTTTAACCAGTTCTGAGTATTAGGAGCAGTGTGCAGCCTGGGGACCGACTCCAGCTCCAAGCCGGACGTCTGTCAAAGGCACTTTGGAGAATGAACTTACTATGTTTTTGATGTCAGGAGAAACCAGAGCTCCAAGACAGAACGTGTCCAGAGTCTGAGCCCAGCGCCGTCCTGCTGCGAGGCAACAGCATCAAGCAATGAGTCACGGTTCTGCAGACGTGACAAGTGGCATAATTTCCGGACTATAAGCCGCTACTTTGTTCACACACTTTGAACACTGTGGCTTAAACAATGATGCGACAAATTTATGGATTTTTGCGAATTCGACGAAAGTGACATTCAGAGCGACAATGAAAGAGAGACTGAGGACGTTTGTGACGAACTAATTCTGAGGCTGTTCAATTCCAACACAAAAGACGACTTTAGTGGTTTTAGTGGCAGGAGGAAGATGAAGATAGCGATCAATGACTTTTCCTGGTAGGCTACTGTATTTTTTATTTTTTTAACCAGCCATGGTACAGGCACTGTTTGGAAAAAAGCATTTATGGTACGAATTTGTGTATGTTGCCGGTACGTATTTCATTAAAAGTTAAAAACATTTTTCTTTGTAAACATCTCATGTTACATCGTGGACACTTGCAACTTATAGACAAGTGCGGCCTGTATATGTACAAATTTTTAAAGTTAGGGGGTGCGGCTTATATTCAGGTGCGCTCAGTAGTCCGACAATTACGGTACATATTTTCAGAGCTGGAGCAAAAAGCTTACAGGCAAGCTGTGATGCTTTGAACACGAGTTAAAGTATGCTTCAAGCCAAATAGTCTGGGGTTGTAACCAATGAATATTAACATTTTAGCTATCAGACAATCTTGATTAAAACTGTAAAAAAAAACAACAAATGACCGACTGTCGTAAATGTAAATATATCCAATTTATCATCACTGAGGACAAAGAAAAAGCAACAAAGAGGTACAAAGCTGGAACTAGAAAATGTTGACTGAAAAATCAATTATCAGAATACTGGCAGAGTATTTCCCTGTTGACAAATTAATAGACAAGTTGTTTCAGCTTTAACCTGTCCGAACTCGGCAAAAGGCAAAAGTGATTATGCTCCCTCTGAAAGATCACACTGGAAGGTGGAGTAAAAACAAGCACAAAATGCAGCCATACGCATCCCTGCTTTTGGCATAATATAAGCACATTCACTCCTATTAGTGAGTGTGTCAATTGTGCACATTAGGATAATAGCACAAACTTCCTTTCATGTTCAGTTCCACACAAAGTGGCAGAAGTAATTGTGTCAAGATTTTTTCATTAAACTGAGACAAGTCCCACGCTGCCTACTTTAACTCCAACAGAGCGTCTGACCAATAAGTGAAGTGGCTGTAAATGTTGGATTGTCTGACAAAATTATTTTAAAAATGTGCTGAGGCTGCTGTTCATGCTGTCGATTATAAAGAAGTTTTCAGGCTTTCGAACGGCTGTAATTATATTTTACACATGACAGAGACAACTCTAAATCCAACACTGAAAAATCTGAAATATGACAAATAAAAAGCAGAAGCAGCCACATCCAAAACAAAAGCAGCTAAGTGCAAACACATGGAACACATGGCTCCATCCTCCACAACAGGATATGGGTTCACATGATACTTGGTACAAGACATTTCCTTTCAAGCTTGCATTTAACCGCCTTGCAATTTCCAGGAAAGGCTCATCTGACCTATTCAAACTACACAGAAAATGAGCCAACCGGCAGCATTAATTGGTAGGATTTTATCAGCGGCTCATTCGTCATCACCTAATCTACAATTCTATGCACTATAAATGTTCTCCACAATCTGGATATCACCGTTTAATAGGAACAAAGGGTTGCAATAAACATGACACACAAAAAGAAAAAGAAAGAAAAAGAACTTGACAAGTTTATCTCAGCACACATACACTATCAGCTAGCAGCAACCTTCTGGGAACGCTCACACACCATAAATTACCACACAATAAAGGGATTTTAATCTTATAGTAGATAAACAGAAGAAAAAGAAAGCTGCCACTATTTACTCAGCACAAACACACAAGCATGGCTGAATTTAGGCCACTTGCCATAAATCCACAGACTTTATTTATACGTGGGAACAAACTCAATCCCCGCTAAGTTTTTCTGACGGTGTTTGGTCCAAGTCCTGCAGGAAAACACTTAAATCTCTCCTATTGCAGGACGCTGGAGCCGGCCAGCAGCTTTACACCATGACAGGAAAAATATGACACAAGCTTTACAGGCTTTGGCCAAATGGTTTTCTACCATCACTGAAGCAATATTGTTAAGTTAACATCGTCACACAGGCTACCACGGGATGAATCTGCAGCCAGAGCAAGAGGATCCTGTTTTGTTTGGACTCATGATGAAGTGGAACTGCTTTTAAATGTAACACACCACAAGTCTGCCGTAGCTGTGCAGGTCAAAGTCACATTTTTGATAGACACTGCACAAGCATAATTTTTGACTTTTCTCAAGCAATGACTAATATTTAGGCAGAAAAGACAGACAAAAATGTCTTAAGGATCCTGCTCCACTGGTAAAAGTGTTGGTCGAGCTCAAGCTGCAACCACCGGGGCTGAAAAATAAAACCAACATCGAAGTGGAAAACTGCAGTTCCTCCAGTGACCACTTGAGGGCGACTCCAAAAATGAGTCAATCCCTATAGACCCCTATGCTAGAATGTCTCAACTGTACAGCAGAAATAAACACATTTACAGCCTGGTACAAAAACGGTTTATGTCTCTACAGCTGAAGTTCCCATAACTGACAACTGTATGGCAGATGACTTTTTATACAACTGATTTATTTACATTGTATTAAGGTTTCAAGTTATGCATAGGTAAGGGCGTGGCTGCTTTGAGTTACAGATAAGCGCCATCACAGGTCAGTCCATGATCCACGGACACTTGCATGGCCGACCTCAGCCCCACTCCTGCGACACCGCCGCTTATTTTTAGATTGGCTGGGAGTTAAGACGAGCCGAGCAATGCCGAGATGGTTAAAACCTACGAGTGAAGTCACAGAGAGTTTGTCCATCTCTACACACACGTGTAGCGTGTCCCCAGTGCGACTCATCCATGTAGTTACTACATGTAAATTTGTGTTCTTAGTATCCTTGTGTTCTTTAATTTATAGTTGTGTTTTCTTGCTTTTCTTTCTGTCACTTTGCTGCTGTGATGTTGCAAATTTCCCCTTGTGTACTAATAAAGGATATTCTGTTCTCTTCTATTCTGTGACATCGTTAGTCAGCTACACATTGCTTAATAACATAAGGCCTGTAGCCTCCAGACTGAAGGAACATTTGTCTCCTCTCCTGATGTGCTAATCAGTGGACTTTGTTGTGTGATTCTTAATTTCAATGTGTGATCAGCATGCTGACCCTGGGCACTGCGTTCCCATATGCTCGCTAAAAAGCTGGAAAAGAGCAGACCATCAGCTTCGGGCTTTATGTGTGGCAGCGTGATGTTGATGTACTCTGAGAGCAGGTGCACTCATCATTTCTCTGATGATTTGGGCCACAACATGCTGGTGAGCAGCCAAGTTCACGAGTAGTGCAGCTTCTTCCAACACATCCTGACTAAGCCGTGTAACGAGAAACAGGCTCGTTGTCTGTAGTACAGTGCACTGTTGCATATTTGACAAGCGAATTCAGTTTTCCCATTCTTGTGATTTCCTCACACTTACGTCACTGATCAAGTAAAGGAAATAAAGAGTGACATAACTTTACCTTCTTCTGAACAAAGTCCATGATGTTTTTGAAGTCCAGGTCATCATAGTAGTTCACGATGCCCCTTCGGATGTTCTTGTTCAGTAATTCCACCGTCTGTAAAGGAGATGTGTAAACAGTTAGTGTATGTCAGTGGGGTGAAAGGGTCAAGTTAGCACATTGGTTCACTCTCCAGGACACAGCTGGTCCACATTCGGTGTGTCAAACGGGCAGCTGTGGGGAGGAAAAGTTCTGATTCGTCAAGGTGACTGACCCAGCGAACTGGAATATTAAAATGTGACAGTTTGACGGCTCACATCTGTCAGTCACAATCTGGCGCAGCGGGGTCACTTTAGTTTAATGTATCAGTCCATCCAGAGACTGAGAATAAATATTTGCAACTTGGAAGTCGACTAAGAACATTCATTGGGAGCTTTTCATTCAATGTTTTCATTTCGAGTACGGTTCACTTATTCCGCTAATTTCTCAACTCCAGTCTTTGTTTCTGATACAACCACCTCATTTATAGTTCACTGAGGACGAGTGGCAGCAAAGCGTTGGACTTTTTACCCTATTAAGGCTTCTCATATCTCGTCATTCCTCTCTTTTGACCACATATATTAATGACTTCAGAATGTTCCCAGCCACGAGTCATGCAGAGAGTAAAGGGATTGAATTTTTCATTTAATTTCTTTCCTTTCTATCTCCTCTGAACATATGAGATCTTCACAATGGATCTATAGGGACAAGGCAGCCACATTTAAACCACAGTACAATCTACTGACTTGTAGAAATTGAGTTAGTCGGCTGAAACGCTTCTTTTGAGACAGAAGAAACGGGGCTATTAATAAAGACCTCATTCAGCTCACATGTCATTATCCGCTCAAATAATGTAATCTTGCAAATGAGACGCCAAAAAAAATCCATCTTTATAAAAGTCTACTTATGCAGACAAGAAACAGAAACCTGATTAAAGTGCCCACATTTCTCGTGTTATTATTTTAATCTCAATGTAAATGATACATCAGTAAAATAAAGAACTGACAGATGAGGGGCTGCGGCGCTTTATTGGATTTAAAATAAATCTGCCACTGAAATGTAGTCATTATGGTAATAGTTCAGCTTTTCTGTTGACAGACACAAACATTAAAACAGATAATATAAAACAGGCTGTTGTTATCTCAGTTATGCAAAAGAGACGATTTGAAAGCTTTAAAAAAAAAAAAACAGGCCGATACTTAAGATTCTCCCCTCAGAGCCACATTAAGATATTCATGAATGAAAGAGCTTTTCATACAAGAAACTGATGAATTGAATAGATGAGCAGACAATCGTCATTGCCACACCAATTTTGCTTTATAATCATGAAACACGATCACATCATTTTCTACCAGATAAATGAAAACCCCCTCATGTCGTAAAATGTGACTGAAGACAAAGAACCCCGTAATCGTTCTGCAGGTTTAATAGCGATCCACTGCAACATATTTTTCTTTCTACATGCTTTATATACAGTCAGGTCCATTGGTATTTTTATAATGGCACAATTTTTGTAATTTTTCTTCTGTACACGACCACAAAGGCTCTGAAACAAAGCAATCAAGATGCGCCTGAAGTACGAGGGTTGATCAGAAAGTTCAGAGACATGTGTGAGCAGTAACTGGTCATACTTTGACTGTCAACAACCATCTGTCATGAGCCCTGAATCTCTTGAACCTTGTTCAAAATGGTAACCCTTCAACTTGTTTTTTTTATTTTGGAGAAGAGGAAAAAGTCGCAGAGAGCCAAGTCACTGTGATCAAGAGACTTGTCGTACTTTGACTAAACACACATTTGAACATGTTCAGGTGGTTTGTGGTGAACGTCTCCCTTCAGATACCTCAGGACGTTACAGTAAGACTCCACCTTGACCTGGGAGATCAATTCTCGATGCACAACCACGTGAATATTCAAGGAAAGCAATAAACGTGCTCCTGATAAGCTCCTCACTCGACACGCCTTGTCCAGTTCTGCTGTTTCTTCTACTGGTGGCCACTGCAGCTAATCCTCACAACATGCACACTGTTGGACTGAATTTCTGTTGTTTCTGTGGTTAAAGACGCTATTTACTTTGAATATTTATTGGAGGCTTACTTCAACTGAAATTGCCTTTTTGTTCTTTTTACACATTTAAAACTAATCATGGACCAAACAGGAGGGCAGAAAAACCTCCTAATGGCTTTGACCAACACTGACTTCACTTTCTGTTGCTTTTTTGTCACATTAAAAGCAACCCAACGGGTCACCGTGAAAACCTCCTAATGTGAAGCAGCAGCAGCTACAGTTGGATTTTCATTAAAAGCAGTTTTACTGCAGTCAGGTTCACTGTAATATACAATAGCACAGCAAATGGGAACATTCAAATCACGCTGTCTAATCAGGATTCATTAAAAGGTGGTCTGGACCCCTGGGCCTTCTGCCTCTACGTTAGAGAAGCATGACTTTTTTAATTACCCACCTGCAGTGCATCAATGAAAACGGTTCAATGTGTCAGTAATTTCCAACTATTAAATTAGCTGCACGTTCCAATCTGTGTATGTTAAATAAATATTTAAAGTGTTATATAGAGCCTTCTCCTCACTGTCTATATTTATACAATGTATTGCTCATGTCATCATACAAACAGCAGATTGTGGTAATATATGAAGGAACCTCACTGAATTTTATTGCAGGGAAGAAAACGACTGAAAAAACTGAAGACAGAGGTAGTAATGAAGACAACAACAGAAACAAAAAACAGGAATACTAGAAGACGAAGCAGGACATTCAAATACAAATGATAATCTTTGAGCAGAGTAATTCTCATCAGTCATGTCGTTGGTCGTGGTTGATTACTTCATAACACCAGCATCGTTTATACTACCTTGTATACTTACAGAAAACATACAGATTTGGGTGGATGTTAAAGATACAGAGACTCAAGGAGTCAATTAAACAAGATTATTGTTATAAATATAAAGCTTCACTCTCACATTTCCTGTCTGCCCACCTGCTGAGGCAGGAGCATCTCAGGCTGTCAGGTTTCTTCAATATTTCATTATCATGTGCAAAATATTTCATGATGTGTAGTATTAATGTACCACCTCAGAATCTCTGCCAGTATTACTTTTATTTTTCTATTCTAGTCTTATTTTATCTTGCTTATTTATATTTTCAGTAATGTACCGTCTTTACATCTTATTGCTTTTCTATTACATTTATTGTCATGTTATGTAGTTTGGTTTTCTGAGCAATATCTTGCACATAAATTTATGTTGGGATGAATAAAGTTTCATTTGACCGTTTCTTTTTATCTCTAATTGATTAGCACATTGTGTGGCTCACCCTGTTGCGAAACGCCAGCGCCAAGACTCCTCCCAGCAGCTCCAGGATCAGACATATCGTCAGGGTGTACATGAACTGTGACACAACAGACAAAAGCCATTACACACTTCAAATTTCAGTAAATTCTCACTTTTCATTTCTGTATTAAAGCCATGTCTGTTAACAGTTTTGATGTGTACCAAGTCTCCTTATGGCGACACTCCCCTGCTGGCTTTTCTCCAGAGGTTATTATGAGTCAGCAGCTCAGACACCAAACAGTTCTTATCATGGGACGGGTTTCATTTTGACATCATAAAGTCTGTGGCCTGTTTTTCCACAGATTGCAACAACTCTAGTCATTTAATTCTGCATTTGAAGAACCATTTGCCTTGAGTTCTTTGGCTTTTAGTATAAAAACTAATGCTCACATGCTGCTGCTGTTCATTGATTTTTGTGCAGCACAAAACCTGCTCTCCACCTGAATAAATTATAAATTCATATCTAGACACAGATCTATATCCATGTATAACCTTCCATTTATACCAGCAGCATTTTTCATAAGCTGCAGTTTCAACACAAATTTAGCTTTTCCCACTCCAGCGGCTCTCTCTCCCTCTATCTCCACCAGTACTCTGTTTCATTATAACTGTGATGCTGGAAGCTTGTTTCCGTGAGTAGAGACACCAACACAAAAAAACGAACCCATTTAGTATATTTGTGCGTGCAAAATATAGAAAATGTAGAGACTGAGCAATCAATTAAACCACTTTGTTGCTGAAGATGTTCAGTGCGCCACTCACCACTTTCAACAGAGTCAGATTATCCCTCAGTGAAGCCAAGACTCCGACGAATGAAACTACGAACATGACGATTCCCAGTACGATCAGGATTATAGCTGGAGCCAAAAACACTCCCTCCAGCGTCTTGAAGCGTTGTCTCTCCACTTCGGCATAGATGCCGATGGCCAGGATAAACCCACCTATTAACTGGAAACACAAAGCGAAAGCAATTAGGTCGGATCAGTCATCAGCTTGAATATGATGGAAAACTGGACGGTGCCTTTATTCACACCGTTCCACAGCTTGAAGAGAGTAAAACAGCGCACCAAAGTCAAAGCCTCGCATTTTCTTTAATTACATGTTTATTATACTGCAACCACTCAGCTAAAGAATTGGAAGAAGAGGGCACTAATGGAGTGACCAGGATTCAAAGGCAACAAGAGACAAATATACTTCTATAAATACATATATAGAATATACAGCGCGGCTCATTCTCTGTCAGATTACCATTCAAACTACATACGGTGTAGTCATGCTGGCAGTGTGTCGCCAAGGACAGAAATGTTGTAGCTTAATTTATTTATTTTTAATTTATGTTGCCTTCGGGATAAAGTACAATAACTTTAAACAACAGCATTAGTTATAGTTTATGTTTTGGGATAATTTGCATGGAAACATGTTAAACTAGGATGTCAAACATGCTGAACATTATAGAGAGACACAGTCCTGCGTCTGCAGGTGTGTCTCATTGGACAAACTTGTTCAGTAGTCAATGGCAAGAGTCAAATAAAGTTTTGGTCCTGTCTGAATGGTGCCATGGATTTCACATAAGATGTATGAGTCAAGACAGCAGTGGCAGCTTGTCGTAAAAATATTAAAGTTCTGTTAAAGTCTGTTGTTGTGTGAAATTTCTCACTGGACTACAATCTCTCGTCTCATACAACAGACATCACCAACACCAACATGGCCGCTGCGTTGGCGTACGAGGTGGGTCAGAAAAGATATGGACTGGTGTCACACAAAATATATTTCAAATCCAAACTACAAACTACAAGTTTTCCCCTTCCAAGTAATCCCCTGGAGTCTAACACACTCCCCCAGCCTTCTCTGCCACGCCACCATGCACTCCTGGAAGGATTCTTCCACGATCCTCCGCAGCTCCGTCGTCACAGCCGTCTTGATGTTGTCCACGTCGTCAAAACGGGTCCCCTTGATGACCCCCTTGAGCTTGGGGAAGAGGAAAATAATCCCACAGAGCCAGGTGGGGTGAGTAGGGAGGTTGCTCCAGCACGGTGATGTTCTTCTCAGCCAGGAACTGTGGGATGCTCAGGGCATTGTGAGCAGGAGGTTGCCATGGTGAAGCAGCCACGACTTATCCTGTGCTACAACGCTGCAGGATCTCTTTGTAGACGTGCTGGTTGATAGACTGAAGGGGGAAACTGGTAGTTTGTAGTTTGAAATATATCTTTTGTGACACCAGTCCTGGAACTTTTCTGACACACTTCGTATTTCACCTCCTTCTTCCAGAATGACAGAACAGGTTTTTAAAAGAACGTGAACATAATTACAAGTCTGGCCATGTTGAGAGAGGAAAGCAGTAAATCCGGATCTATCCATCTATCAAAATGTTCAGCACCTCTTGGTGGCTTTGAAGGGAGAAAGTTACGATGATGCCACTTTTCTGACTTTGTGTGGTTTTCTCTTGAAGTTTGTTGACAGTCTTGTACAAACTGTGACTCTCCTGCTTCAAAGGAGTCTCGAGCTGCTGACAACTAATCATGTTTTTTCCAATACAAGGTCCCACTGGAAGAGGCAGGACTTACTCTCTCTTGACCCTCTTGGAATCAACATGGTAACTGTATCATTGTGGATTTTTCCCGATCAGGACTGCAAAAAGGGTCGATTTTGTTTTACTGGCGTTATTGGTGAGCGATTACTAGCCTGACTAGACAGATCACTTGTGTATCTCAGAGGGATACTTCAAGACAGGAGACTTAAGCAGGGCCTTCTTGCAGTGAGGCCACAGTTTTACAAACACAAAGTAATTTATCTCCATTGTTGAGTACAGAATCTTGAAAGGGTTTCTAACTGAAAGCTAAGTACAGCAGAAGAGCAGGATGAAATATCACACAATCAAAAACCTGCAACAGAGTTCAAAAATCACCTTAGCAATGTCACAACTGGTAGAAACTTTTCTTTAAGCAGCACATGCAAGGACAATTACAAGTTTTGAGCAAAGGTCAACAGACCTCCAACTACAGGGGATGGACACAACTCCAAGACTATTACATTTACAGTTGCATTTTCTGAAAACGGATATATTTTACAGCTAAATTTTACAGTAAAACTGCCCTATAATGGTGCATTTTCCCGTGATCAGACAGCAGCACTACTGAAGACCTGCATACAGCTCCCTGTGTTTTGCATAATACATGACGGTCCTTCCACATAGAAATTAAAATTGCTACTGTGATCCTTCATCATAAGGTCAAACAAATCAAATTAGTATCTGTCAGCAGCTATTTGTGCAATTATCACACACACCTGTCAAACCTGACCGGTGCTTTCTAGGAACAGTATGCTTCTCTAATTGGTTGCTTTTAAAACATGACAGGTTTTGAAAGATGTTTTTCTCCTGTGCAGCTTGGACAGGAAAATTAGACAGATTTGTATCTACTGATCAATTTGGGGCATTGTAAAGAATGTGGGGAGACAGGTGCATGGTTGTTTTTTGTGTGTTTGAATTGATGTTTTTTTTTTGTGTTATTTCAGATTTTTTGTATGTATTACATTTTAATATTATGCAGGTTTGTACGGCTGCCTTTTCTGAAATAGATTTTTGATCTCAGTGGGACTTCTTGGTAAAAAATAAAGGCTACAAAAATGCCAGAGTAAATAAAAGACTCAGCTCAGTAATATTACAAGAATAAAGTTGTAATTTTACAAGAAAAAAGTACAATTGAAGAACAACTGAAGTATAATTTAACGAAATGCTCCACGGTCCTCATTTTAACAACTCTCCTCTTCTAAAACAAATGGTTTATTCTTGTAATGGTGCGACTTTATTCTCAAAGTTTGTGGAAAAATCTTTTTCTTAATGTGGCCCTAACACTCCGTCGTAGAAAACAAACAAAAACTTATGATAGCAGTACGTTCTTACGAAACAATGTCCCTTGTATGATAATTCAACAGTATCATCTTTCCACACAAACATCCCAGTGATGCCTCTAAAACATGGCTGCAGGTACGAGACCGGGCTGCACAAAGCAGGTTTTAACGTATCATTTTCCTCTGATCAAAATCTGCACTGAAATAACACTTTAACAGACCAAAACACGCCACACTACTTTTTATAGATAATGCCAGAGGGCTGAAATGTTACCCAGCACAAAAGAAAAAAATCCAATTAGAGTTTGCAACACATTTTTCCTGCTCCCCGCCAATGCATACCAACATTAAAATAGAAAATGAATACACAACAAGAGATTGAAATGACCACGTCTGTCCCAACAATGAGCTCCAGGCAAATCTAAAATTAAAAAGGCCACTTACGCAGATTCAATTACAGCCAAATGGCACACGTAGGCATGTAATGTGATCAGGCAGCTGAAGTGGTAACTGGCCAAACACCAACAATCCATTTATAGAGACTTCAGTTATTGAATATGTTTTTGTATCCAGGACGAGTCAAACGAACGTGACTTTTAGCAACAATCGGCCACACGCGTACACTGGGAATAAGCTCTATTTGCACGTACAAAAACAAACACATATTGTGAAGGAAAACTATACTTCATTGCAACATGAGAAGTATTTGTTGTTGCTAAGGACATCACTTCTGACAGTTAAGAGAATGATGTAGTAACCATGGGAATTGCTGAAACCTGGGAACGTGGTGCCATCACTACAAATACACCCCACTGACATGACAAGTCTGACAACCTGTAAAACATGTTGGCGGCCTTTCCACCTTTTGCTAATTTCCAGCACTTAATTACGAGGTATAAATAGGCACATCTGTAATGATGTACTCATTAAGACCAAGAGCCTACATCGACGCTAGGAGCTCAGTGAGGCTGTACTTATCGGCACAATGCTAACATGTTGAAGTTGAGTGGGTTTAAAGAAAGAAAGAAAGAAAGAAAGAAAGAAAGAAAGAAAGAAAGAAAGAAAGAAAGAAAGAATACAAAAGAAAAAGAAAGAACGATGTAATTCAAAATCAAAACAATTGTTATGGTGAGCACAGTGTTAGTATAAATGACAGAAGAGAGGACAGGAGCTGTGTGTGTGTTTTAAACAGTAAAATACAATTTATAGTGTTTGTTATCACGTCACACTAACAAGAAAAACGCTTAAAATAGTGACTCAAATTTTCAGTTAAAATTTCCTCTGAGTCAACACACACATATATGCACACTCACAAACACACACAGACACACACAGGCAGGCATAGCTGTAGAAGATGCTTAAATCACAGCATATCGCCACCGCAAACACCTCATTCTTTGACATGTTTGTCGCTAATTGCTGTTTGCCTCCCACAATCTGTTTTGAGCCTTCGTACTATACAACAGAACTGAGAACACCCACTCCTGTGCCATATCATGTAAATGCTAATTGGTATCACTTCTCAATTGTAAAGACTGTATATTGAAAACATGGCCCCCAGAGCAGAAAGTGATTGTGACAATAGATACACAGACTAGAAGCCATGTGATCACTGAGAAAAGGCTGGACACAACTGGGATTTACAAATAGCCTGACTGCATGAACGTGGTTATGACATGAGCTGTGAACACTGGAACCTTTTCAGTTTATCTGTCTACATGTTTGCATCATGTTTTCATATGGCGAGAACTGCCAGAGGAACTGATACATCTGATTGTGAGGCTTTACAAAGATGGAAAAGGATGCAGGAAGATGACTGACTAAAATCAGTAGAAACACAGTGCAGCAGTTATTTAGAAGCCAGTGAGTCACAGTATAGTACTGCCCACTTATTGTCATACCGCTTGATAGAATATCCCGTTTATAATCATAAAATATCGAAGTCCTGAATCATTTCCTATATAACCTATAGTTAAACAGCCCCTTTATTGTCATAGAATAATGTCATGATTCCGTTTTTTGTCATAACGAAATTCTCTGAGATTGATTCCAGGAATAACTTTTGCCTGTTTAAAGTCACGGTCGGCGGATCGTCACGG